TATGGGCAGGATTTTGCTTGCTGGAGCAGCTGCCGGCAGCCCTCGCGGCGCGGCGGTTGGTGGAGACTGTGCGCCTGCCTCTGTGTGTGTGCGCGTGTGTGTGAGTGTGCGCAAGTGGGCGTGCGTGCGTGTACATACACCTATATAAATTATAGCATTTAAAGGGTAGCGCCATGACCTTGCTAACATCGCTGACTCCCCAGCTTGGCCATTTCGCCACCCGGCAGAGCCCACGCTTCACCGGCTCCCTGAGAAGAGCCCAGCCTCGCCTCCCCGTGCCGACCTCCCGTCTCGTTCTGTCCGGTCGGACCCGACCCGCAGTCAGCTTGGCACTCGTGTGCTTTCATGCCAGTAGTGAGGAGCGGGTGCGCCCCCCGCCACCCCAACCACGTGCTGCTGCTGCCCTGTCTGCCAGCACTCTGTTGCTCGGTACCAAGGCACCGCTCTTCTGTGCTGCTGGTTTTTCCGCCTTCCCGCTGGGTGTTCATAACCTCCAGACTCGCCCCCTGCTTCTGGCACTGGGTTAGAAGAAGAGAGCTCGGGATGGTCGCAGCAGAGCTCAGTGTCGGGGCCAAGGATGGGAAGAAGCAGGTTCGGCCCCTGCTGCACGCTTTGGCTTTGGACAGACGCAGGGAAGCTGGAGAAAGGGCCTGGACGTGCACCAAGCCCTCCTGTGCCCTGCCTTCATCGCCAGTGACCAGAAGATGCTCGTGGCACTTTGCTGTGTTTTTCCAGGACTTTCGCTAGCCCTGAGGGGGTCTGGATCCCAGCCCTTGGCTCCACAGCGGGACCTGTGGGTAAGAGCAGGCAGCGATACAAGCCGGGCAGCGTGCTCAGCTCACCCTCTTGGTCGGGGGTGGAAGGTCTCCCCCTGCGCACTGCACAGCTCCCTACCGTGTCCCCCTGAGGGATGGGAGCCCCCACGGCCCAGGCTGGGCACTTGGTCCCAGCTCCTTCTAAGCCAGCCAGGGGCCTCGCCACCTCTTCAGTGACCTTAGACAAGCTGGGGGCTTCTCTGTCTCAGTCTCCCCATCTGAGAAGTGAGGCCACTGCTGGTGGCGGCAGCAAAGCAAATGCCACACAGTGTTGGGGTGAGCCCTTCCACCAGCCACGCTCTGGCATTAGCCGCCACGACGCCGCGGGCCCCCTGCGCCGCCCCGACTCCCACGTCCGGCTCGGGGGGGCCAGCGGCTGCAAAGGCGGTTTGGCGCGGAGCCTGTTGGGCAAGGCCGGGGCCCGGCTCCGTGGGGGAGGCGCCCACCTGCACCGTTTTCCCCCGAGGAATCTGCCCACGAGCCGCGTGCGCGCGTGATGCTGCCGCCGTGTCGCCAGAGAGCGGCGCGGGGCGGGGGCGGTTGAGGGAGGCTGGGACGCGGGGCGAGTGCTCTCGCTGTTTCTGTTCTGATATTTCCGTAGGTGGAGGCGTAGGAGCGAGTGGTGTGCAATGGCGACTGGCCGAGGGAAAGCGTTGCAGCCCGTCGAGAGGGGCCGTGTGGCGGGGCGGCTGCTGGTGGCCCATAGACCAAACCCTGAGGTGAGCGATTGCCCTCCCCACGCACCTCCACCCCTTCCCTGGCCCCGGCTCCTGCAGCCTCTGCCGTGTGCATGCCAGAGGGACCAGGGTGGGCTCCGTGGCAGAGCTGCTCGTGGCAGGTGAAGGCCCCTTTGCTTGGTGCCAAAGTATGCTGGGCCTGGCCATGGCGGTGTGTTTGGCAGGGGGAAGGTGTGGACAATATGGGCCCCCCACAATCTCTTCTTTGCAAGGGTGCAGCACAGCCGGCTGCTTCCTGAGCGCATTGATTGCAACTGTGGGGGGGGCTGTGAAGCACTTTGACCGCCCCCCTCCGCTCCTCCCTGCTTCCACCCAGCCCCCAGCTTCGCTCGCCCTGCACCCCGTCCTGGCCAGCTTCCAGCGCAGCCTCCTCCTCGCCCGTCTCCGGCATCGCGGCTGGGCTCCTGGCAGAGCGGGGCCGAGCTCCACTGCAAGGCATGGGGGGGGAGGAGAAGGGAGGGGTTTTGGCTTAGGGCTGCCTCCCAGCAGGGCTTTTTGGATGGGTTTGCCATGTGCATTTGTAGCCTGGGTGTCTCTCCTGCTGTGCTGTCACCAGTGCCCCTCTGGGCAGCTCCCTGTGCACACATGCAGCTCTCCAGCCGGGCTGGGAGTTGTTCTGCATTGGGGTTACCTCCGAAGTCTCCCTTGTCTTCTCCAGGCAAAGCCCAGCTGCTGGTGGGAGGAGGCTGGGCAGTCGCACAGGGCAGGCGCGGAGCAGTTGGGATGTAGAGTTGTAGAAGAGGCAGGGTGATAGGGACCCAAAGGGGCAGCATCCAGCCCTCGAGGCAGGTGCGTTGCAGTCTAGACCCTCCCAAACCTCGTGCTTGACAAAGGAACAGCAGCAGCTCCCTGTCCCTTGCCCCAGGGGACACCGCTGGACGAGGGCATGTCCCATCCCACCGCTGCAAGCACAGGCAGGTGTTTCTCACCCCGGCAGCACCTGATATTGTGGGGGACAACACCAAGGGAGCATCGGTACCTGAACAGGGGGACGTCCGGGCCTCGGCTGTGCTCCTCCCGATGGGGTCCTCGTGTAGCTCGAGCCGTGCTGCTGGTCCCGCTCTTTGAATCTGCGCTTTTAATTTCAGGGGCTGTTGTCTTGCCTGGGCCAATGGGGACAGAAAACTTCTGCCTTCTCGTCTGCAGGCCGGGTGGCCGTCTCCTTGCGGGCAGGGGGTGGGAGCGGGGCACAGCCCACGATGGGGGTGGCTGCTGCTGAGCTCTGCACCAAGCTCCCCGCACACCCGGGCACACGTGGCGCTGATGGGCAGTGCCCGCAGGGGCTGGAGGGGAGGGGGTACCCCATTTTCCATGATTCCCCCCCCACCCCCTGCAGTTTCTCATGCATCTGCACCCTGGGGCGGAGGTCCCGGCGGTGCTGCCCACAACGATCCCCAGACCCACGGCTGCGGGTGCACAACGTGTTCAGCTCCAGGGCAGGTGTCTGAGGCACCAAGTGCATCTTCATTTGCACCCATCACCCCCGCGTGGGCTTTCGCCGTTCTCCCAGCAGCAAGGATCTAACGAGCGTGGATCTAAGTAGCACAGCCCCCTGCTCCTGTCGCCACTGCTGCCATGCTGATGTGCCAGCCCTGAGACCCTGGGGCGAGGGGGGGGGGGGTGTGTGCTGTGCCTCCCCTCACCCCCCTGTCCCCGTCTTCCTTGGCCACTCGCGCTGTTCCTGGCTCCGGTGCAAGGGACCTTTTCTAAGCAGGAATGGGGCAGGGAAGCCAGGCTGTCCACACCACCCCCGGGGCACTGCCCCTTGCCCCAGCTCTGGCACCCACCCAGGCCTCCT